TGGGGGCATAAATATTTAAAACTGAAGTGTCTTGTTGTATTGTTCCTTTGGCCAGTATATAGTGGCCATCTTTATCTTTCTTTAATTGCTTTAAATCTGCTTGTATCTGGGCTTGGTGCCTGTGGCTCAAGTGGCTAAGGCTCCAGCCACATACACCTAAGGTGGCAGGTTCGAATCCAGCCCAGGCCCGCCAAAAAACAATGATGGCTGAAACCAAAAAATAGCTGGGTGTTGTGGTGGGCACCTGTGGTCCCAGCTACTTGGGAGGCTGAGGCAGGAAACTACCTTGAGCCCAGGAGTTGGAGGTTGCTGTGAGCTGTAATGCCATGGCACTCTACCCAGGGGGACAGCTTGAGGCTCTGTCTCAAAAAAAAAAAAAAAGCTTATATTTGAAAATAAGATTGCACCCCTTCCTTTCTTCTGATTTCTATTTGCTTGAAATACAGTTTTTCATCTCTTAACCCTGAGTCTTGATTTGTCCTTCAAGGCTAGGTGTATCTCCTGGAGACAGCATATGGATGGCTTGTGCTTTTTTTATGGAATCAGCTGTCCTGTGCCTCTTCAGTGGTAAATTGAGTTCTTTGATATTTAGTGAGAGCATTGATAAGTGTGGTGGTGTTCTATTCATTTTATTTTGTGAAAGTACATTGTGTAGTTTTATCCTTTGTGCCACTGAGGAAACTAAGTTTTGACCTTCAGCTTCTGGGTATTTACTTTGCTGGTGGGCCATTGTGGTGGTCAGTGTTGAGAGTAGGTCTAAGTATTTCCTGTAGAGCTTGTATTATTGTGGTGAATTTCCTCGGTGTTTGTATATCTGCTAAAAATTTAGTTTCTCTGTCAATTTTAAAGCTTAGTTTATCAAAAATTGTTTTGTTTAAGAATGTTGAATGTAGATGACCATTGTCTTCTGGCTTGGAAAGTTTCATTTGAAAAGTCTGTTGTTATTCTAATGGCTCTGCCTCTGTAGGTAAGCTGCCACTTACTCTTGGCTACTTGGCAGAATTTTCTCTTTCATGCTGACTTGGGATAGGTTCATTCCAGTGTGTCTTAGAGATGTGTCTGTGGCTCTTGTTTGAATTGAGATGACCTGGGGTTTGATATCCATCTGAAAGCAGTGTGTCAGGATCTTTAGTTAAACCTGGGAAGTTTTCATGTATGATAGTCTCCAGTAGGGTTTCCATTCCTTTGGGACAATCTTCTTCCCCTTCAGGAATCCATAGTATTCATATGTTTGAATGCTTCATGGAGTCTTGTAGTTCTCTAAGTGCCTTTTATGCTTTCTCTCTCTCCTTTTCTGCCTCTTTGACTCCCTGGGTTAACTTGAAAACTTTATCTTCTAGCTCTGTGGTTCTTTCTTCTCCATGGTATAACCTATTTTTGATACTTTCTACTGTATCTTTCCATTCCCTGATTATCTCCTTGATTTCCTTAAGCTCCACCGTATCCTTTCTATATTCTGCATATCTCTCTGACTTTTGGTTCTATCTTTCCATTTTATCATACATTCTTTTTATTGTCTTTATCATCCATATTTTAAATTCCTTTCCTGCCAAGTCCATTAATTCTTTGTAGGTGGAGTGTTCTGCAGCAGGTGCCTCATGCCCTTGGGTGAGTTGTTCTGTTTTGATATTTCATGTTGCCTGGGTTTTTCTGTTAGTTCCTCCTCATGTGTTCTTCTTATTGTTCACCTCCTTGTCCTCTTTTTTCCTTCTCACTGCCTCCTTTGTTTCAAACAGAAGTCCTTGCTCTTGGTGACAGTATATTGCAATATGTCCTCAGGACACCAGGTGGCACTGTGTTTTATTTTAGGAGATGGAGAACACAGCCAGCAACTTCTGTGGTCCTTATTCCAAACATGGTTGTCCTCAGTGATCATCTGATTGTTTCCTCAGCATTCAGACCCCACTGGGTTGGTATCTTAAAGCACACAAGAATTCTTCAGGGTCAGGTCTCACAGTGCCCCCTGACTCCAATTCCCATGGGGGCAGGATACTCTCAGCCTCTCCCAGAAGTGGAGTTCTGATCCTGGCAGGTGAGTTTTGACGACCATCCTTTAGGCCCTTGCTAAGACCTTCTTGAACTTCCCATAATGGCAGTCCCCAGGACACTGAGACCTCTGTATGACTGCCTTGCCAGCCACCAAAAGTATGGCAAATCCACTCCAACTAGCATTCAAATTGGTTGCTGTATACTGTTTGGGTCTGCACACTGTTCCAAGCTTTCCACTCAGTGTGCAGCTTCCCTTAATTAACAACTGAAATCTCCAGAAAGGCTTCTTCCTCTCCCAGTCTTCCGTGGGTGGCCAGCCAATCCAAGTGTGTCATAATCACTTGCCTAATTGATCAGATTTCTACTGCTCAGGGTCATACACTGTGTCCAGCTCACCACCTCCTCACTGTGCTCCCAGAGCTGCAATTCTGGGTAAGACCCCCACTCCTTGTATGTCTCAGTTCTCTCTTTTTCCCCAGTCATTGTAGGAGAGCTCAGCTGAATGATCCTTCTGGTCTGCCATCTTGCTCTACCCCTTGACTGCAATTCTTTATGGTTGGTTAGCCTTTTTTCTTTCTTTCTCTTTGTTTCTCCCTTCCTTTCCCTTTCAAGCTCTGTATTTTATCAAAATTGCAATGATGTTTGTCTGATTTTAGGATGCTATAACAAAATATCATAGCCTGGATGGCTTAAATGACAAACATTTATTTATTGTAGTTCCAAAGATTAAGAAGTCCAAGGTCAAGGTACCACCAGATTCTGTGTCTGTTGAGGGCCCTCTTCTGGTTTATGTAAAGCCCCCTTATTGCTATGTCCTCACATGGGAGAGAAAACAAGATACTGTGTCCTTCCTCTGTTAATGGGGGAATTGATCCCATCAAAGATTTATGATATCATTGCCCTTATGACCATAATTATCTCTCAAAGGCCCCCCCTCTAAATACCATTACTTTTGAAATTAGGGCTTCAACATACGAATTTTGAGGGGGATGTATATATAAAGTTTTATATCCTGATTATTTTACTTACTAATTACACCATGAACATTTTTTTTTTTTTGAGACAGAGTTTCACTATATCGCCCTCCATAGAGTTCTATGGCATCATAGCTCACAGCAACCTCAAACTTATCTTGCCTCAGCCTCCCAAGTAGCTGGGACTATAGGTGCCCACCACAATGCCTGGCTGTTTTGTTTGTTTGTTTGTTTTATAGTTGTCATTGTCATTGTCAGGCCCGGACTGGGTTTGAACCCACCAGCTCTGGTATATGTGGCTGGTGCCCCAGCTGCTGAGCTATAGGTGCTGAGCCCATCGTGAATATTTTATCTCATCCTTTCTTTAATGACTAAAACCATAGTAACATGAAGCCAGTAGATGAACTAATACACACCCACACAATAGAAAAACTCAATTC